GTGGTAAGACACTATATCAAATGCAAGGATTATTATTATTATTATTATTATTATTATATAGCCCTTCATGTGAGTAGCACTTTGGAGATTTTAATATTTTGCCTTATATGTTACTGAAACATCGCAAAGCACTTCACAGATTTTTACTGTGACTGTGTATTTTGTAGGTCAACACAGCAACCAATTTGCACTGAGTAATTTGTGCCCCAACAACAACAATTTACGCTGTCTAATGCATTTGATGTAGGGAGAATGACTCAAAGAATTTTACAAAGCTGAGCTGCTAGGAAGATAGGGAGTTTTGGGGAGATGGCCAAAGGCGCAGGTTAGGTTTTTAGATGGGCTGTGATACCAAAGAGGGAAGGAGTAAGCTAGAGGGATTTCAGAGGAGTTGTTGTCTATTAGATTGGACAAAACTTTAAACTTTAAACATTTGCCTGCTGTAATAGACATTAAAGATCCCATGGAACTGCTCAAAAAATGAAGGGAGTTTCTCCTGGTGTCCTCTGAAAATGTTATGATGCACAAATTACTGGACACAAATTGGTTACTGTGTTCATCTACAAAATATACAGCGCTTTAGACACGTCTGATTGTGGAACACTGCTGTGTGCAATATTGGCTGCCACGATCACCTACAAAATTTGGTCACTACACTTCACAGTGAACCCTGTGAAGCACTTTGAGACGTTCTCCCAGTACGAAAGGCATGATATCAAATTCAAGGATTGTTTATTCATGTATTGATTAACTGTCTTTAAAGATTCAGAATCACCTGGTCTTAATATCAGACTATAAAGAAAAAGCAGGGACAGCCAATGCCTTAGTCAGGGTTAATGGAAAAGGCAGCTGAAAATCTTGCTGACTTGGAGGTAATGGGAGAAATCAGAGGAAAGGGATATAAGGAGGTAATATACATAAGCACCACAGTAATTATCCAGCTCAAAGGGACAGATGGCGCTTCGGGTGCTTTCGAATCAACAGACAAGGCAACATTTGACGTATATTATGAACTGCACAAGGATTTGGAATCACGGTCCACAATTAATACAGTTCTACCTGCAGTGGTGAATGATATCACAGCAACGCATTTCTACGTTAACATCTCTGTCCAGTATCACTCAGTATCTACTTAATATCACTCAGCCCACCATGTGTATAAGCTTTATCGGCAAATCACAGTTGTTTTGGCAGAAGAGAGCACAGACACATACATTTGCTTTGTTAAAACCCAACAGCAACATAAGCAAACACAACAATAGTTCCATAATATTGCTGGATCATTGCCAGGGGCCACAAGTAGCATTAACTGCACATATGGTAGGCTATTTGCATTCTCCCTAAATTAGGTCAATTTGCACAACTGATAAGTTATCATTCAATGAGCACGTAAAAATTTTGTGATTTCAGGGACATCATGTTGGCAAAGTAAGTAAGTAAGATATTCTCGTCCTTGTCCTAATTCTCTCCCTTCAGAAGTGCTTCTCCGCAAAAAGTCTCTAGTTAAAACAATGGTCAAGACGCTGTAGACGAGGATCTAGCTGTGCACAAAATGGATGCTGTATTTGCCAACAGTCACTTGTTAATTAATACTATAAAAGTGTTTTAAGACATTGCAACATTATAAAAATGTTATAAAAAGCTCCATAAAAATGCAAGCTCTTTCTTAGTAACCTCAGACTTTGGATTTGACTGAAGGCAAACTGTACAAATTGTTACTTCTGATTCATAAGTTTTTCAGACCATCATGAGCAACTCAGCCTTTAGTTTTTCTCTGATTCTCAATTCTAAAACAGAAGGGAGTTTCTCCCAGTGTTGTATCCAACATTCTCCCAAATAAAATTGGTCATTTACTTCACGGCTGTTTGTGGGTCATTCCTGGGTGCGAATTGGCTGTTGCATTTGCCCACAAAATGCATCCAGTCAGTGCATTAATAATAATAATAATAATAATCGTGGTATTTGATATAGCGCCTTATCACGTCTTTGCGACGTTTCAAACCAATCACGGAATACACTGCTAAGTGATTTGCCTGTATATTCCGTGGGCAGCCAACTACACACAGCCAGCAGTGTCCCACAAACAGTTGTGACTGAGTGACAACTTTTTTTTTGAAGGGATTAATACTCCTGGAAAAGCGATTCTCCGATCGATCTACCACCAGTTCCCACTCACCACTAGGCAAACAGAGGGTGTGGAGCAAGGAAATTCGTCCAACACCTCGCTTCGCCCAGGAATCAAACCCAGTTTTCTCGCCTTATGAGGCAAAAGGACTTTTACACTATGTCTTGTGAACTTTGAAGCACAAAACCCTCGTCCTTCATCACTTCCTGGCTGGACTATTCCAATGGGCCCCTCGCTGGTCTCTCCAACTCCATCATACACAAAATTCAACTAATTCAAAGCTCTGCTGCCTGGATACTCACTCGCACAAAACTCCACACCCGCATCACACCAGTCCTTGCCTGGCTCCACTGACTCCCAATTACCAAACAGATCGATTACAAGGTCTTCTCACGGGTTTTCAAATCTCTTCATGCCCTGGCACCTCCCTATCTATTAATCTGCTTCCCCCCCACCCCATTCCATTCCACCATCTGTGGCTGTGCCTTCAGCCACTACCCCCTAAAATTCTGGAACTCTCTCTCTCTCAATCCATCCGCCTTGCCGCCTCCCTCCCCACTTTCAAATCCTGCCTAAAGACCTTCCTTTTTGATCGTGCCCTCCCTCTCCCGCTAGCTCAGTGTCAGACTCAGCAGTTGTGAAGCACTTCAGGACACTACCCCACATGAAGGCACTATATAAATGCAAGTTGTTGTTGTTGTTGCCTGTTGGTATATCCTCCGGACATAAAGGACATTATACAAATGTAAGTGTTATTATTATGGCCCCGAGTTCTGATGTTCTTCTGCATATATTAACTGCTTCATTACAAATATGTTTTTATTGGTCAGAACAAACATCATATCACTAACAAACTATGAGAAGGAGATCACGTCCTCCCTACTGACGCTGTAAGTGCCTGTCTCAAATACAATAATTATTGTTTCTTATTATCAGCAGCTTTGCACTTATCAATAAAGTCTAGACTTACATATTTTTTCGTACAGTTTCTATATTGTGGTTATGGGAGTGAGAACATGGAGGGGGGAAGAGGGTTTGTATGGAGAGTTATGAAAGCTGTGGTGTCAATGCTTCATCTTCTCATACCCCATTCCCTTGCTTGCTAACTCGGGCCTGCTGTGCATCCTGTGTTCTCTCTGCGTTCCTAGGCTCCCTCTAGCCTCCATTTGGCTTCTTCTTTGTCGTGAAATCCCACCCTAAAATCTTCCTCTTCGACTGGGTCTGTGGTCACCTCCGCACCCCCATGGCCCACTCCTCCTTTGCTCGATGACTGACCCGTCATTATGAAGCACGGAGACATTATCTTACGGAAAGGGTACTATATAAATGCAAGTTGTTGTTTATACAGCTTCAGTCCTCCAGAGACTATCTGCATCAAATGACGTCCTGTGCATGTGAGAAGGCGTGAGGTCATTGCATAACTATCTTGATGGTGTTAGGATGTTACAGTATTTATAAGAACCACATAAATTAGATCCAAATGAAGGATTTATTAACCAGCATGAGATAAACATCTGTGTAAAGAGAGATTCTCTCTTCTGTTTCAATGGCTTACATTATTGTTGGTGTTTTGCACAGTGCCTTTGTGTACTGATGCATGGTTAGAATAGGGGTGGGTGTGGGAGGCACTCAAAATTGTTAAAGATGCTCTGTGTATCAACAACCAGAATGTAAGCCCTCAAGTGTTGAAAACAAGGGAAGAAGAATTTTTTGTCGCTCATTGACTCGAATGATTCGAGACTGGAGACCTTCAGTTTAATCCAGAATATATTGTTCATTTAATGCAGGGATATAAAGAGTTCTAAAGGGTTGAGAAAGTGCAGTTGGTGTCAAGATTCACTATTAGTGTCCCAGAGTCGCTAACCGGGAATCCTGCTGGTAACCTAATTTCATGGCTGACTCAAGGGAACCGCAATCTGCTCTTAATGTGCAGAGGGGATCTCACAAATCAGAATAACACTTCACAAGATCACAAAATTAGTTTGGATGAAGAAACCCCTTCAGCTATCTGATTTCACCCCTTCAGAACACGCACCCTACCGTCCCCCCATCACATGCCAATTACTACAGGATATCTCTTTTAGCAATTCTCAGACACTGCCAGTGAATGTTGGTTTGACCCATCACTTTTTCAGTAGTCTATAATCTGGTTCCTGACCCAGGTATTGCAGTACTGCAGGAGCACTGCTGATGACAGACTAGCCAGCCTGGCTCATCTTGTAGGGCAGAATAATCACTGGAGCAGGGATCTTTCCCACTCATTCCTGTTATTCCTGCAAGCCCAAACTCTCATGAGTAGAGTAGTCCTAGCTGGAAAAGCAGCCGCACCCTTGCCAGAAAGTGCTCTCAATGCTAAGGTATGCGTTTTTAGCTTGTCAAGTTCCAGCAATACTCCAATCCAAACTCTGGGCCCACCCCCCCAAGCCTTGGCTCTTGTCAACCTGCTGCTAATACACTCTATTTGTGGGCGAAAGCAGAAGCCAATTTGCGCACTGCAATGTCCCACAAACAGCCATGGAGTGAGTTTTATTTAAGGAATTGATGGCCACAACACTGGGAGAAACTCCCTTCTTTTTTCAAAGAGTGCCATGGGATCTTTAACATCCACCTGAATAGGCAGACAAGGCCTCGGTTTAACATCTTATCTGAATGACGGTACTTGCAAAGGTGCAGCGTGACACCCCATGCTTCAGCCCAGAGTATGAGTTTAAAGTCCTGAAGTGAGGCTTGAACCCACTATATTCTTGCCAGAAATCAGGCTTGAAAGTGGAAAAAGAGCAAAACAAAAGTGGACAGTAAGGATTGGAAAAGAATGTAAGTGTTCTAAGTCTTCGTCCTTTCTGGTAACTGAAAGCGATTACAGTACTTTACTTACCCTTGCCAGATGAATCACTGCAATTGCTGAACTTGTCTTCCTTCTCAATATCCAATGGTTTCTCAGGATCCCACTGTTTTCTCATGCTGGTTATGGCATTTTTAACTGGGTTCACCACAACTGTCTGTTCCCCAGGCTTCATTGCTCCTGCAAAAGATCCAAATTATTTTATGAATGTATCAACTTTCATCCAATCTCTTTGTTACTGCAGCTACGTTGTTACACTCATTTATTAAATTTTTAAACATAACAAAATGGGATCGTAATTTCCAAATCTCAATTGTTCGGAAGTGCTAATGACAGCAAGTTTTTTTAAAAAAAACATGTCATCATCTTCAGCAACAGTATGAGCTCTAGGGTAAATAATAATCCTTGCATTTGATATAACATCATCAAAATGTCTAAACATGAAAGGAGCTATACCAAATGCAAGCGTTCTTGGAATTATAATCCACAAAATATGGATTGAATGCGTGAGAAAGAAGGGCAACCTGTCCAAAGTTATTTCCAGATCTAAAATACATTTGTTACATCCCCACGTAAGAAATCAATTCAACTTTGAATAAAATCTCCAAATGACATTAAACAATGCTGAGCTCACAATATTAATTTAATACTCGGCTATTTATTAGATGTTTACTGATTTTTTTTACAAATTCAGATTTTATGAGTCTGGTGCTCTTATATTGTACATCATATTTGCTGCTATTGTTAAATCATGCAAGATATAATACTTCAACAATGGTTTTAGGTATAATTCAGCCATCCTTAGAATGTTATTTCCCCATCTTCTCCTCAATGTGCTTGCCCTTCTGAGGTATTGTTCATCTGCTTACCCAAGTGCCCATCCTTCATGTATGAGCCTATGTGGTGTTTTAGCAAGCTATGTAATCAACACTGCCAAGCCTCATCGTCTCCTCATCTGATGTACACAGACGAACACTCACAGCAGGTGCTTTTGATAGAAATCAGGAGCAGGAACCCTGCTTCAAATAATGTTGAACAGATCACAAGAGACATATGGGTGAAGAAGGCACCTCAGCCCATTTGACCTTGTCCTTGCCATTACAAACAGTCCTTCATTCAGTGTCCAGAGACTTGAATCCCACTGACTCCTAGTTTGTAAGATCTTTTTGTCTTAAAAATCTTCAGTTTAATCTTCACTTGGAATCTGGTTCTTTTTGAGAACTGAAGAAAAACAGCTTCCAAAGAATTTTCCAGAATTATGCACAATCTTAAATGTTAAGACAAATTGGTTCTACAAGATAAGATTAGGTGAGGGTGAGAAGTGCTGTATAAAAGGGTGAGTGAAACTACCCTCTTCTGAAGTGTCTTATTTTATAAGTATATTGGTCCACAAGCAGGATTTTGTTTCTGTCCAAGTTGAAATCTAATGCTCCATTCAGCATTTTATTGTTAAGCAAACCACAATATCTGTTGCTAGAGTTCCCTTTAGTGGCAGAAAATATGTACTGCAGTGAATATCTCCTGAATTTGTTCAATCAGTTTTTAGAATTTCTATAGGATTACAATATCAGAGACTGAAACTCCATATCATAAAAACATTCATAGATTTGATAAAGCAGCTTTCATGTCAAAGGGACATGTTAAAGCATTCACAGGATTTACTGTAAAGAAGTGATTGTATTTTGTTAGTGAGTTCATATACTATTCAGCAATGAATACGCAGGTCCTGATTTTACTTCAAAAAATAATCCTTACATTTTATATAGTGCTTTTCACTTCAGTAAGACATCTCAAAACACATCATGTTGTATAATGCAGCAACTGTGTATTTTGCAGGCTGTGCAGCAGCCAATTCACACAGCAATGTCCTACAAATAGCCATGAAGTGAATGACCAGTTTTATTTGGAGGATACCATGAGAAACTCTCTTCTCTCTTTTGAATAAAGCCATGGGATCTTTAATGTCCACCTGAAAAGAACAGACAGGACCTCAGTTTAACATTTCATCCAAAGGATGGCACCTCCAACAAATGAAGCACCCCCTAGTATTGCATTGGAGTGTCAGCCTAGACAACATGACACATGAGCCCACAAACCGTAATATTCACAGGTGAGAGAGCTACCAATTGACATATTGAAAACCACTTAATCATGTAAATTATTTTTTATTGCACCAATCTGGAGGACAATACAGATTTACTCCAGAGGCACCAAGCTCAGTTGTACAGATAAACTAGTATTTTTTNGCTAAGGTATCAATTTGAATAAAAAGTTTGATTACTCATGAAACTTCAATGCTAAGTTGCTACTTTTTTAATGATTTGAGGAATGGGACCTTACCATTATTTCCAGTCTTGGGAGCAGAGTTTCAAACCTGCTTCACTGACTTCAGTGTCTGGTGAAGCAGGATTGAATCATTGCTCCTATGGTAGTAACCATCTAGGCTGACATTCCACGTACTGGGAGTGTATTGCATCGTTGGAAGTGCCGTTCTTTGAATAAGACGTTGAACCACTGTATTGTCTGTCTATTCAGGTGAATGTTAAAGATCCCGTAGAACTATTCAAAAGAGAACGGAGTTTCTCCCTGGTGTCCTGTCCAACAATCAACACCCACAAAATATACAATCAATTCACTTTACAATATATTCTGCAAAGCGCTTTGACACATCTCAATGAGATGATAAAGCGCTATATCAAATGCAAGGATTATTATATGCAAATTGCCTGCCGCATTGGCTGACAAAATACAGTCACTACACTTTACAGTAAATTCTGTGAAACACTTTGAGACATCCTCCCAACATGAAAGGCTCTATACCAAATGAAAAGATTATGAATTATTTTATCTTTGCAGCTGTTATGATGAAATGCAGGTGTACATTTTGAAAATATCCATAACATCCGAACTGAAAAGGGTTAACAGCCCTAAATCTGTTTTTTCAGTTGGGAAGTGGTTTGCTTTGATTTCCATGACTGAACAGCTTTTATTTTCCTAAAACATGCAACAAAAATTCACCAAGGTAATTACACACAGTCACGTGAAGCTACTGTAGTGGCTACACAAATTACATGTAAAAAGTGTACTGGGTCACACAGGTGCCATCATCTCATGACATTGAAATGTATTATCTTCAAATAAGATCCTACCTATAAAAAGCGCAGAGTGAAAAATGCAATGTTTTTATGAAACAGTTATCTCGTTGAATCTGTTAAGAAGCATCAGAATTCCAGTGGATCATTTCTAGCTAATTTGGGGTATAAATATTCCCCCCAACTTTTTGCATGATTGTTGAGCGTGAAGCCAAAGATGGCAGTTAGCTTTGTTAACATATCGGCTGCTGCCACTGTTGGCCCACCATTCATCACCTGTGCGAAATATGGTAGTTGTTAAAATAAACACGGTGAATCAGACTGCCATCTATTGCCAGGTACCTTCACCTTTCTGACACTCTCTCACCTCTGCTACAATTGATCACTTCTCCAATGAATCCCATGTCCATTCTCTCCTGGGTCATTAAACTACTTTGTTTATATTTGGGCAGCTTTGCAAACTGGGCAATATTAAGGTAAAGTGTCCTGCATCACTGAAAAAATCATTGCTTCTCCCACCCTGCCACCACTCCCCTCCCTGCTGGGAATGGGGGAGATCGATTGGGTGGAGAAGCAGCCAGTTTTTAGCAGTGATAAACCTTTGAAAGTGACCACTAACATTGGTACAATGTTAAAAGGATCTTTGTCTAAATTTGAACCCAAAATTAGATTGGGAAAGTCCATCTGCTGAAGACTCAAATACTTTTAGGTACAATTGTATTTCTGAAGAAATAAACTGAAAGTTAAGATGTACAAGAATGAACAGAAGATACTTTGACTGCTGCTTGACTTAGGAGAAAGGCCATAAGACACATGCTTTAGATGTTCTGCTACCGTCCAAGACAAGCATTTCTTGAAGTCTAGCAATTTACAGATCAAGCCAGATTTGATTTATTTAAATAGAGGCACTTTTCCGCATGTAATTACATTTGCCCAACTATTGAACATGTCAATAGTTCAAACCGCCCATGTGGCAAACATCAATTTATTATAATTTCTGTTTCAAGTCCATTCTTGAGGCCCTTTACCAATCTAACAAACATCAAAACAAAGTTTTGCTTTTTAAGAGTTACGTAGCAGTATTACTTTGTCTTGGAAGACTGTGTCCTTTGTTAAAACGGCAAACAAACTCACGAGAAAAAAAACACGTAAAACTGACATTAGCTTTTAAAACCAAACACTATTCTGCTTTCCTCCTTTACACCTGAGTCACAAAATTATAAGATTGATCTTACCTTCAGAAAATTTAATTCATGTCAAAAATGGAACAAATTTTGTAAAACTTTAACTCCAACACAAAAGCCTCTGCGGGGTTAGAATGCAGAAACTAACTTGCTGACTAACTTTGTGCTCTGTTATTTACTAGCTGCACAAAGAAAATGCTGTCTATTCAAAACACATTTCAAAACTCTTTTCACAAAAACTGAGTGAACAAATGATTTCATGCCCTGAACCGTAGTCATCCGATGAGGTCCAGTGATCGCTCTGGGGCATGGAACCAAGTGACACAGGCTGTAATCTTTTACAGGGAGCTTTTTGTACCGTCTTTCCAAAACTTTTTTTTAAACTTTGACAGAGTTCTTCTCACTTGGAATACATTGTCTTCAGTCCCCATCACAGGGTTTAGTTCATTCACTTTTATTTCTCTGTAAATGTCGGATGACCTCAATTTATAAGCGCACATAAATGTACGAGATTGGGAAAGTCCATCTGTTGAATCCCAAAGTTTAAAGAACAATATTCAATATATTCCACTTCTTACACAAACACAGAGCCCTCAATCATTTATCTTCCTCCTCTGGTAAATGTAGTACAAATGGATTAACATCAGGCATATGAGCGAGCTATACTTGCCTAATCCTATCTTTCCCATTGTCTGTACTTGGTATCCACTAAGGGCTTCTCCTCTAGCCCCGCACTGTCACATGTGGCGTCCCTAAGGGCTCTGTCGTCTGTCCCCTCCTCTTTAATCTATACCTGTTCCCGCTCGGTGATGCCATCCACAGGCATGGGGTTAACTTCCACATGTATGCGGCTGACACCCAACTCTATCTGTCTACCTCCACTCTTGATTCCAGAAACGCTGCT